AAAGATTACTTACTTAATCATTCTCATCAAATGCAAAATCTATTCTCACCTGTAAAATAATTTGATATTCCATAAAGGTGTGAAAATAACATACACTTGCTTTTAAATTTAAAAAAGAAACAAACAAAAACCAAGAAGAAAAGGAATGACAACTTTTCTATGAAGGGGAGAGGTAAGGTTACAGAAAATTCCAATGATCCCTATAGCTAATGAGGGTAGGATAAAGGGAGTCGTGTTGTTAGGCTTTTGGACACATATTTGTCTAGACTATGATTGAAAGTGGCCGAAGCCTGAGAAGGAAGAAGATTTTCACGGGGAATTGGCCTGGCAAATCAGTCCCAGGCTAAACCAGGGGTGGTGCGGTGGGAACGAGGGACTTTGGTTTATCATTTAGGTTTTCGTCGATTAATAAAAAAGAATACTATAATTACTTTCACACAAAATATGCAAAAATGGCACGTAAACTGCGAACTCAATTAGACCTTTAACCATCTCCACATTTGACAACAAAACCAAGAAAAATGAAAACGCAAAATAAAATAGATAAATACAAATCCTTGTCCTATGTCTAGTGTCTAGATTGCCCACGATTCCATGCGCCAGGTATGTTAGAAATATAATATTACTAGCTGCTCCGACAGATGTGTCGTCCTGTCCTAATGTGGTTTTATGTCAAATGTTCGTTTATTTTCAAGATAAGCTCGTTCGCATGGCTCAAACACGTCCTGGTTGAAGTTCGTTCGCTACGCTCACTTAGGTTGTGCTTTAGGTTGGAGCTCGTTCGCTGCGCTCACTTGCCTTCAGGTTAGCTCGTTCGCTACGCTGACTCGCCTCCAGGTTGAAGTTCGTTCGCTACGCTCACTCACCTTTTGGTTGCAAATTAGCCATTGTCATACATAAAAAAAAAAAATTTTGCTGTACCCTGTTGGTAAACAAACCTATTAACTTTTTAATTCTGTTGAACATCACAGAATCAAATTGTTTGGGTGAACCAGCTGTTAAGATTCTTTAATACCATTTAAATATGAGTACTCATAAGGTTAACATGGGTAACTCCAGAGCCACTGGGGCGGAGCCCTTTTGACGGATCTGCACCAAACTTCACACAAACCATCCTTGAATAATGCTTAATAATGCCTGAAAGTTTCATTACAATCTGTCGAGTGGTTTCGGAGTCCATAATGGACAAACAAACAAACATACATACAAACAAACATACATTGGATTTTATATATATATATATATATATATATATATATATATATATATTGGATGAATAATTAATCTATGGTTATTTAGATCTTGTGCTTTATAGCTTTTGTATGCAGTAGACTTTCCAGGGTGATTCACTTGCTCAGGAACTTGAAGAACTCTGTACCCACTGAATGGCTAAGAACTGCCTACCTTGCCTTTTTTCAGAGCATAATGGTTTAAGACTTTGGGGTGGCACTCCGGGAGGCGGCAGTCAGAATCTTGGCAGGTGCTGATTTTCTAGACCACTGCAAACCTATTTTTATTTCTGAATCCGTAGTGTACAGCTTATATATTTACCAATCTCTTCTGTGTAGGAGTCAGGCTCTCTCGAACTCCGAAGTGATATCCACCCTCACAATACTAGGAGGAAGGACGACTTGAATGTACCCTATGTTAGATTAAGAAAGGTCCAATCTAGCTATTGTATACAGAGGTATAAGTTTTTTAACAAACTCCCTTGTACAGCTCGGAACCTGCTGGAAGCAAAATTCAAAATGGGGATAGAATCTCTTCTGTTGGCAAATCCGATTTACTCATTCAAAGAGTATTTGGAAATTTCACCTGGCCAATCAAGTTTTTTTAGCTAATGAGTGCCAAAATGTGTGATGATAAATAAGTTTTGTTTTTGTTTTTCAATTTTCTGCATGATATGTTGCAGGCTTAGGCTAAGATTTTGATGTATTGACGTTTCCTTGTACATATTATGCTTTCAGGAAATAAATCATTCTCATTCTCATTCATTCTCTCATTCTCATTGACGCCTGACGGAACTGTTTGAGGTTAGAAAATAGTGTTATTGTTATTTAAATGGTTGTGTTTATATTTTGAGTACTGTTTGTAACGCACAATTTGTTTTTCAGGATTAATTTTGCCAACAGTGTCATTTAGAGGCTTCTGATTGACTAAAACGAAGGTTTAGTAATTAAAAATTATTTTTGTTCATAGAATAAAATTATAAGTGCCTCAAATTCAATTTTATATTTTTTTATTATGAAATTAAACCGTCATAACCTAACCAAACCAACCAAACGTGCTGACAATGAAAAAATCGAATGAAGGTTTACTTATTAATCGAAAAAATAGTTCTGTTCATAAAAATAAAATTATAAATGCCTCAAATCCTATTTTAAAATTTTTTTATTATAAAATTAAACTATCATAACCTAACCAAACTAACCAGACTTGCTAATAATGAAAAATCAAATGAAGGTTTAACAGGAAAAAAAATATTGTAAATTACTGTAAATATTAGAGACGGAAGACTGACTGAAACCAACTGACGGACAATTGACTGGGAAAATGCGGAGCGGATGCAACTGAGACTGAACTGTAACTGGACTGTATCGGAACTGTGACTGAACTGATGTGTGTGAATCGACCTTAAGTGTGGTGAAGAATAGCGTTCGTACCACGGACCGAAATGGTTTTGCAGCTCTCGATCGATTTAAGTTCTCGACTTCGTCTCGAACTTAAAACTATCTCGAGCCGGCAAAACCTCATTTTCGGCTCTAGTCTAGGTACGAAATATACTATTACGCCACACTACATTATTTTGATGAACTTTCCACGCAAGGATTTAGTCCAGAAAACAGCTGTTTGCCACCAGCTTATTCAAATGGGTTTTTTTTGCGTAATACTGTTCTGCAATGATTTTTACGCCACACTACATTATTTTGATGAACTTTCCACGCAAGGATTTAGTCCAGAAAACAGCTGTTTGCCGCCAGCTTATTCAAATGGGGTTTCATTGCGTAATACTGTTCTGCAATGAGTTTTACCGGACACCAATCAGCTGATTATACTGTATTTTCGTGGCAATTAGTGGTTATAAACAAAAACATAACCTCTCTCAGAGGTTATGACTAGTGTTTATTAGTCCTTTAGTTGGTGGAAATATATAAGGATTTGGATTTGTACGGATTAAGTAGTATGGCGTAAACTATCGTACGTAACTCGTCCAAAATGTGTGTACCGGACTCGTATGGTAATCCCGTACTCGACTTCGTCTCGCACGGGAACGACCACACTCGTCCGGTAAACACTTATTTTCAGGACTAGTAACGTAATATACTATTACCAGACACCAATGAGCTGATTATACTGTATTTTCGTGGCAATTAAAGGTTATAAACAAAAACATAGGTTATGACTAGTGATTATTAGTCCTTTAGTTGGTGGAAATATAAGGATTTGTACGGATTAAGTAGTATGGCGTAAACTATCGTACGTAACTAGTCCAAAATGTGTGTACCGGACTCGTATGGTAATCCCGTACTCGACTTCTTCTCACACGGGAACGACCACACTCACACTCGTCAGGTAAACACTTATTTTCAGGACTAGTAACGTAATATTATACTATTCCATCCTCTCCCTAAAATAAAAAAAACTGTTTCTGTTCAAGTATTCGGTACGACGGCCCTGAAGGGACACTCAGTTTCTTTTTGTCTTTCATTTTACTTCGACTTTTTTCTCGAAGTAGTTCGACTTTTTTCTCGAAGTACTTCGACATTTCTATCTAGTCTAGTTCTAGTTTTACTTCAACTCAACTTCAATACGAATACGGTCATTCCCTATTCTGTTTCCGTTTCTGATTCTTTATCTGTCTGCTGTCTCCACTGTCTCTCGTCTCTGTCGCACTCAGACCTAATAAAATCCTTGACAGAGTCAATATCAGAAAAGTGTTTCCTTCTATGAAGTCCGAGCTTCTTGGTATACCTTTTAAGTGTCCGCTCACTTATGCAAATGTTATGCTTCAATAAAAAATTGCAAGCATTTCATGCTGTTGAAGGCCTAAACTAAAATATTGTTCAATCAGTTCATTAATGTCATATTCCATTATGTGTCCTAAAGCCTAAAGCTCAAACCCCTCTTTCTATCTGCCAATTCTTATCAAAAATATGTCTACAGCAGAAACACCCCTACATCAACAGTTAGTTGGGTTGTGGTTGCCGTAAAATTATAACAAACTATAATAAGCACATTCGAGAATAAAGTCGAAGTACTTCGAGATTAAAGTCGAAGTACTTCGAGAATAAAGTCGAAGTACTTCGAGCGAGAATAATGTCGAAGTACTTCGAGAATAAAGTCGAAGTACTTCGAGATAAAAGTCGAAGTGAATGAAAGACAAAAAGGGGTCTGACTTAGGGGAGGTACGAATGAGGCATTTAGTTCAAAATTCCTCCGCGAACAGCGCTGTAGTAGAGAGCACTTTGTCAATGAAGGTTTACTATTCGCAAAAATAGTTCTGTTCATAAAATAAAATTATAAATGCCTCAAATTCAATTTTATAATTTTTTAATTATAAAATTAAACTATCATAACCTAACCGAACTAACCAAACTTGCTGATAATTAAATCATATAAAAAAGATTAGTAATAGAAAAAAATAATTATGTTTATTAAATAAAACTAGAAATTGCTCAATTAAAATGTTATAATGACTTAATAATAAAATTAAACTGTCATAACCGAACCAAACCAACCAAACTTGCTGATAATGAAAAAATCTGAGACAAAAAGTTAATGCAACCAGCGAGATTCGAACCCGGGATCTTTGGCACGCCAGCCCGGCACGCTAACCACTAGACCACCGAAGCCGTTGTCCACATACCGTATTGTTACGGTAATAGCGTTCCCTCAGCTAATAAGAAGCCCACAGCTGTCATCGTAGCCTCTTCCGTACCTCCCCTGAGTAAATACCGACAAAAAGAAACTGGAATGTCCCTTCAGGGCCGTCGTATATTCGTGCTCTACTACCTCTTGTCTCAGATTTTTTTTTCAAAAAAAGTTTGTTATTTTCTTTTGTTTAAATTGGCGGGAAATCGAATCAGCGTCAACGCCATCAACCCCTTCATGCGTTATTTGGCACTTACTTTACTAGGTTAGGAGGTAAGGTAGTTAGGGCCTACTTCTTATTGGCAGTCATAAAAAGTTGTGGATAAAAAAGTTGTAATTGTGCTTTGTGCTTTGTGTGACAGATATGGATTTTAAAAGGTTTCCAAAGTGTGTTTAACTACTGTGAAAAAAATCTTATCGTGATTGGCAAATAGTATTCGAGTCTTCTTTTCTTATGTTAAAAGGACAAGTAGGCCTAGGTATATAAGTTACTTGAGGAGTTCTAACATGGCTTTAAGGGAAGGCTTGAAATCACAATTTAGTGCACTGGGGTTTGAAGTTCTTGATAATATTCTCGACAAGTGTAAGTATAACACGAATAGGGGTAGGTTAATTTCAAAATTGTTTTATATAGCCTATTTTACCTAACTTGCTCATTTTTTTACATGAACAACATTATTTCCAGATAGATTAGATCTATGTTAGATAGATTAGGTCTAGACCTAACTTGCTAGAAATAAAAGTGGCCCCAGCTTGGTTAAACCAAATTTACGGCAGTTAGTTTAACATAGTCCTAGTTAGTTTAGCCTATATGTTCTGTCTTAACCAGACCTTAGGGTCTTAACATAGTGGGCCTAACTTAGGTTTTAAGTTTAACCCTACTATTCTAGATCATCCACTAATCTGAATCTCTCAAATTGTGGGAAGATTTGTCTTGGTTCTTGCTGAGTTGTGGTAGGTACCATCCTTAGTCTCCTTTGGTACAGCATTTGTAACTGGGCTACGCTAATAGGTCCTATTGATCAAATTTAAAATATTGATCAATAATCGATATTTTAAAATGATAAGTTATCTATTATAAAATAGTCTAGCATTCTCAACCTAAGTTAGTCTAGTTCAACCTAGAGTAATCTGAAGGCAAGTGAGCGCAGCGAACAAGCTCCAACCCAAAGGTGAGTGAGCGTAGCGAACGAACTTCGACCAGGACGTGATTGAGCCATGCGAATACTTATGAAGTTAACTTGTGTGAACCTGGCAATAACTTGGCAATAAGTAGTGCGCGCGCCTTATAAAATCTATTGCTGGCCGTTTTGCGGAAAAATACGGCCACGTAGGTTATTACCGAGAGTGTCACCAGTTAGAGGACACATTAACGGACACGACAGTATCAATATAATGTACCTGGGGGGGTAAGTTAGGGGGGGTAAAGCTGACTTTAGCGATCCTCGCCATATGTCTGCTGGAGTGGCTGTAGTTTTCAAAAAACATTTTGGTAAACCTAGTCCTGACCAACGTCTAACTGAACACCTAGCTTTACAAGAAAATCAAGGTGCTTTCATATACAGCCTCATCACTAAAGGCAAATACTACGGTAAACCCAACATTTTTGATTACGATACGGCTTTTAAAAATTTGACCCTGGATTTTAAAAGAAAAGGTCTAAATCACTTAATTTGTTCACCCATTGGATGTGTGCGAGACATGATTGAACTCTATCACTTTATTACCAACCTAAAAAACTTTCAGCAGGAAACTAATGCAACTGTTACTATTGTGTCATACTATCAAAAATCACTCCGACAACTAAGAAACGGTTTGTCACATGAAGAATTTCAGCATCGACTCGAACAATTAATTCGACTGACAAAACCCACTAGCTTACCAGCTGCCGAGCAAAGTAATGGTCTTCCATCTGATCCCTCAAAACTGCAAGTTCCACAGCAGCAAGATAATTCTACAGTCTACTCCCGTTTACAGTATTGTGAGAGTCAACAATCCAGTCATCTTGCTTCCCCACTAACTGATTACATCTGCAGCAGCCCCGGGACTCATGGCATCAGTAATGAATCTACACAAATCTCTACACCTCTGAAGCCTCTAGCAGTGAGTGATGTGGGGGGGGGGGATAAAGCCAATCTGGGGAGTGCAGTGGTTAGTGATGTGATGGAAGCAGATACATCCAGACCAACCTCAGAACAAAAGGAGTCTTTTTTAGCTTTAGTTCAACCCAACCAAAATGTAATGCAAACAAATTAGCTTTAAGTATTTACCACCAAAATATTAGAGGTACCTATAGTGTCATCATTAGAACCGTTAGATGTAACTTTAACCGAACTTGATCCTAGTATAGTTGTCTTGACTGAGCACAAAATGTTAACTTCAACATTCCCGAGACTAAATATTAATGGCTATAACCTTTTTGCCAGTTTTAGTCGCAAAAAGTCTAGAAGTGGCGGGGTTGTAATTTTATCAAAACCATATATTCATTGCAAAGAAATTGTTTTGTCTGAAATCCAAGACCTTATATCTGAAAATATTTTTGAATGTTGTATGATAGAGGTAGATAAGGTAATTAAAGGCAGTAAATTACTCATTATTGGTTGTTACAGGAATCCTATTAAACATAACGAAGCAGAATTTATTCGCAGACTAAATATAATGCTTGAAGTTTTGAATTTTAAATATAAAAACGTGGTTTTCATGGGGGATATAAATATTGACTTATTACAATTTAATAATCTATATAAATAAAATTAGAGTTTTGTCTGTACATTGCTCAGAATCATACATTTTTAGGTTATTTTTACGTTTTATACATTAAAGAAGCCGAAACAAGTCTCATCTAAATTTCTGCCTGTCTGTCTGTCTGTCTGACACACTCAAGATGGCATTTTACGCAATCTTCTCCAGGAAAACAAGAGTACCTATCTAGACCCAAGTCATTTTAATGTATTCACTGGATTGGCGAGAGTGTCTTTAGCCATTAAAATATGGTCTCACTACTTTGTAATTAAAATTTAGGCCGTTCAAAAATGCAGTTTTGTGCGATTTTTGTCAAGTTTTCTTCCAATTTGTAACACATAATCATCTATGAAACAACGAACAGCTGTTCTGATCAAGATTATTTTTTCTAGCTGTCACTGAAATGTTTACAAATGTTGTTTACAAACACCACAACCATTTCCGATCACGTTTTGAAGGCAAATCCCATCCAAGTGAGATTAAAAACGTTTTTATTACATAAAGGATTTAATTAATCGCAAGTGGAATAATATAGTGTAACCGTAAATTAAATAACTAGGGATCATCCAGGTCAGGAACCAGAAATATGTGTATAAAATTGTTTTGGGAGTTTTGATAACCAGAAAGAAGACATTGAATCAAGATTGAATCAGTGTTGTATACGGCTGGGAAACTTAAATTTACTAATGACCGTCGCCAATAGCTTAGAAACAATGTTCCACTCATTGACGGCTCTTCAATGGCGGTTGTGTAAAGTGTAAAGCAAAAAATTACAACTGCAGTGGGTGATTGTAACAGAGGTTTACGGATGATGCTGAACTCGATTTTCCAATGTGTCACTTTCTGTTCCTACCATTGACTATATAAAGTCAATAGTTCCTACTCACCATGTGATGCAATCGCTGGACCATACAGCCAATAGGCCCATAGCCCTTCTCTTGGGTACGTGTGGTACGTATGCTTACCCAATTATTTATAACAACCCTTTCGACAACGATCCTTGATACCGGTACTTTTCCATAGAATACACGGCCTACCTAGGTACTTAAGAAATAAAATTATAAACGTCCAAAAACCCAACGTTGTGTGATTTTTGTCACATTTCCTTATAATGTTAATATATATACCAGCAACCATTGTTTAGAGAATATGTAATCTATTAAATAACAGAAAGTTATGTTGTATAAGGTTTTTTTTCAAACTGACACCGATAAGTTTACATTAAGAGTTGTGTACAAATAAAGAAATTAATGGGAAATAACTTTGATTGCCGATAACTTTTTACGAGAAATTCCAAAACCAAGAGATCAATAACCTTGATTAACGCATATAATTGGTCGGCTGTACTACAGTTCTTAACTGTAAACGTTGGTTTTTGGTACGGTACTGGTTCTTTTCCTTTTAACCTTTAGTAGCAGCAAGAATCATTTTTACGTATCAACAAATCAAAGTAATTTACAAATTAGTTATCGTTGGTGTTGCACCTTATTTATTACAGGCGTAGGCCTATTCAATTTAATTGATGTCTTAACTGTATAATTTTTGCTTTTTCTGTCTGGATTCCAAAATGTTATGCTAAGAAAACTATAACGCATTTTAGTAAAACATTTATTCAGCAAACCATCATGAATTGTTCAAACACTTTGAACGTTGGTTATGTATCAATAGTTCGTGGCCTATTTTGGTAATTTTTATTACAAATTACCAATCTAAATCGTCTATAGTAGGCCTACTGTACTTCATTTCATATAGCAAACCGATTCAGTTAGCATTTCGACAGAATTTCGAGTCATCTCCGGTTCAAGCAAATATAAATTGTTATGATCAAATTTTATGGCATTAACAAAGATTTCAAGTACTAATTTTATATGTACCTTTTTATGCTTAAAGCGTAGCAGATTCCATAATTAAGTTCGGTATTTTTGTGTGTATGTATGATGGTAACGCATTAATGTCCTTGTTCCTCAATGTTTCACGGAAAGGACAAGAGCGCCTCGATAATGAAAATGTCAACCCGAATAAAGTGTTAAATTAAGAGGTTGAGGTAGTACCAGGGTGTCCACATTCTGGAAAGTCAGGGATAGTCATGGAAAGTCATGGAAAAAAATTTTGGTCATGGAAAGTCAGGGAAATAGGCAAGAAGTCATGGAAAGTCATGGAAATTTCCAATTATGGATGGATTTGAGGGGACCATTCAATGCTCTAGTCAGCTGTAACCCGGACTGTTGTATCATTTTTCAGGATTTTTCAAAGATGTTCGACAATTCAATTTATTACAGTTGTATTATTTTATGAGTTTTCGGTTTGTTTTAGTTTATTGTTGTACCTATTGTACTCCATTGTTATCTGTTATTACATATTTCAGTATTTTCTGCAAAATAACATGTCCAGGCAGTATTATTTGTGTATGTATATTATATTATAATTTGCGTGTAAAGTTTGTGAGTCATGGAAATCAATGGTAAATGCTCATGGATAGTCATGGAAAGTCATGGAAATTAATGACAAATTTTTTGTGGACACCCTGTAGTACCTTAAATACTTTTAACCATTATGTTATAGTTCTTTAAATTCTGAACAAAATTGTACAAATCCCTTTTCCGTATATTTACTCTCACTGCTTACACATGATAAAGGTTGTTGACGAACTTATGGGAGAAAGTATGTGTCAGAATGCTGATACCATTTATTTAGTTTAATCATTGGATATAACATATGGACCAACAAGATCCGGGTGACATTTAATTGCGAAGCATTAGTTTTGGCTTGAAACTGTCAGATACTGTATTTGCGAAGGAATAGTTTTGTCAGCATATCTGAAAGTATGCAAACCAACTGCTG